CTCGGGGTTCTACTCGTCGAGGTCGGTGTCAGACCTCGAATGAGGCCTCGAGCTCAAGACGCAGAGCCCATAACCATTGAGGGTTTAGGGTTTAAGGTTTGAGGGTTTAGGGTTTAAGGATTTAGGGTTTAGGGTGTAGGGTTTAGGGATTTAGGGTTTAGGGTGTAGGGTTTAGGGTGTAGGGTTTAGGGATTTAGGGTTTAGGGTGTAGGGTTTAGGAACTCTCCGACTCGGAGCCTTGGGTTCAGACGTTGGGGTTTTCGGGTGTTTTTTCTCTCCGGGGGCCGAGGGTTGTTTTGAGGGGGGTTCGGGCGTTTTTTTCACGGGTTTAGGGTTGTGTTAAGGGGTTTAGGGTTTGTGTTGAAGGGGGTTTAGGCGTGTTTTTAAGGTGTTTAGGCATTGGGGTTTGGGGATTGGGGTTTAGGTGAAGGGGTTCTGGTCTTCCAGGATCTACAGTTAAGCGGGTTGGGTCTTGGGGCTGAACGGTTTCAGCAGGGCTTGACACTCCTGATTGAAAAGAAAAAAAGCTTCGCCAGAAAAAACGGAAGAACCGACTCCCCGACAATCCGAAACCCCCATCTTTCGCGGGCCGAAGGCTGCTCTTCTTCTTCTTCGCCTTCTTCTCCTTCTTCTCTTTCTTCTGCTTCTTCTGAGCCTCCCCGGCCCCCACACCCAGGGTTGAAGGGATGAGTGGATGTTGGGATTGCTGAGCTACATAAGGGTTTAGGAGTTTAGGATGTAAGACTTAACCTGGGGTTTAGAGTTTAGGGTTTAGGTTTAGGGCTTAGGGCTCCGGGGTTTGGAGGCGTTGGAGCTTTGTTGCGGGGTTGACAAGTGTCCCCTCAGATTCCAGTAGAGGCCCAGCCCCAGCATGTGCCGTACCCAAGACCCAAACCGTAAATCCCGAACCCCTGCGGTCTCTATGCCTTTTTCTAGTACATAGCTTGATAAAACGGTGTAGGGTGGGTTTAGGGTTTAGGGTTTAGGGTTTAGGGTGGGGCTAAGGCCACGTCGGCTGAAACAAAGGCTTGCACATGGGCTTAGCTTTTCAAGCTCGAGGTAGCAAGGCTGAGACCGGTTCTTCAATTGCCGCCCCTGAACCCTGAACCATTCAGTACGGTTGATGATATAAATCCTGCATGACCCACAATAAGGAATATACCATAATTCCCATAGTTTAGGGTCCTTAAAGTAACGCAGGATTTAAATCATCAACCGTAGTAACCCCCCTGACCAACAGCAGGCCCGAACATACACTCGACGATGCCCCTGCATGCAAATGACACATAGCTCTTCTGGCTTTTGGGAGGGTGGAAGGATCAACACATCTGTTGCGGCTTTTTTGGGGCTTTTGGCTACTCGTTTCGTAACCTCAACCACCTTAGGGTTTGGGGCTTAGGGTTTAGGGTTCTGCTTTTCGATCTGGGCAGGCCTTCCGCTTGAGCTCCTCTTTGCGCGCCTGCTGACGCGCCTCGAGCTTCAGAACCTTCGGGAAGTTCGGGTCTAGTACGGGGTTTCGGAGATTTCGGGCTTTCGGGGTTTAGGGTTCTATGAGCTTCAGAACCTTCGGGAAATCGTCAGTTCAACAGTTTAGAGGATCAAGGGACTGAGCAAGCAGGTTGGATAAACCCTAAACCCTAAACCCTAAAACCCTAAACCCTAAAAACCCTAAACCCTAAACCCCTTAAACCCTAAACCCCAAGAAGAACTTCTATCCGGTCAGCCCGGGTGTGCGCGGTTCAGAGCTTCAGGTCGGGAGTCGAATCCTACAACCTCCGTCAGTTGCAGTTGGGGTTTAAGGTTTGGGGTTCAGGGTTTAGAGGTTAAGGTTTGGGGTTTTGGGACGTATGTTTTTTTGCTAAAGTTGTGTTGGGTTTAGGGTTTCGCGTGCGTGCGTTGTAGCACCTGCCATTTCAGCAGAAGGCCATCAAAAGGTACACAAACCCCGAACCATAGCCACCTGAGCCAAGACCCTGAAGCCCAATCCGCGCATGTCCCACTACAGCTAAGTCCCACCCCAAGTCCTAAACCTAGAAACCCTAAGCCCCAAAACCCATAAACTACAACAAAAACCTAGAAATCCAGAAATGAAACCTAGACATACACCATAAACCCTAAACCCTAAACATTCCCCATCAAACCCTAAACCCTAAACCCTAAAACCCTAAACCCTAAACCCCTTGCTCCCAGGTGGCTTCGATCTCCTCCGGAGCGAGTAGCTCACCAGACAGAAGCGTAGGCGCCACCTGGAAGAGATCAAAAGGTTGAGGGTTTAAAGTTTCAGGGTGTTTAGGGTTTAGAGCTTTGGGATTTAGGGCTTAGGGTTAAGGGTTTTGGTTAGGGTTCAGGGTTTAAGGTTCAGGGCTTTGGGATTTAGGGTTAAGGGTCCTGTAGACCCACCTGCCCCCACTAATGGGGGGGGGGGCTCCTTGCTGCAATGGCTTGTTTTTTATTGCTCTTTGAGGAAGTCAGGTCTTGTGGCTATGATTACTACGGTTGATGATATACATCCTGCATTACCTTCAGGACCCTAAACTATGGGAAATACGGTACATTCCGTATTATGGGTAGTGCAGGATTTAGACCATCAGCCGTATGTATAGGGTTTAGGGGTTTAGCGGTTTAGGGATTTAGGAATTTTGGGTTCGGGGTAGACCGTCTGGTGGCTGGCCGAGGTTCATCAGAGATGAGCCGGGCTGAAGGTTGGAAAAACTCATAGCATTCCGCTGGGTTCATTAAGATCTTCATGTTCTGCCAACTGTGTTTGAGGAGTTTGCGATTGAGAGTCTTAATGAACAATTAAAGATGCCTTACCCCCCTCAACCCTGAACCCTAAACCGCAGGGGTTTCTGGCTTTGGGACTCTAGGTTCTTGATGGCTTCCGGATTTATACTTCAAGTCTGAAGCTTCGCGGCTTAGCATTAAAAAAGTCCGGGTTGTGGCTCCAGAGTGTTTGGGTTTGAGGGTTTCGGGTTCAGGGTTTTGGGTTTGGGGTTTAGGAGTCTAGGGTTTAGGAGTTTAGGGTTTAGGTTTTAGGGTTTTAGAGCCCATGAAGACTCAAACTTAGAGTGAAGGAAGGCTCAGAGCTGACGCTGCTTGCAGCTTTTCGAAGCCTTGACCAGGGTCGCCGAAGGAGAGTATGCTGCTGCCAGAACCTTGGCAGAGCCACGGTTTAGGGTTTAGGGTTTAGGGTTTCGGGTTTTGGGTTTAGGGCTTTCACAGCAGGGAACCGGGCTCTTGATGCTTGTGCATGAGATAGCTAAACTGCTCGCAATTCTAAACCCTGAATCCCAAACCCTGAACCCGAAACCCTCAACCCTAAACCCTGCTTATCCCAAGTAGGCCCTATCCTGCAGGTAGGATCCTTTCGCAGGCCTCGGGCTTTCCAAATGAAACTCCACTCTAAAGCCTCAAACCCTCAAGCCGAAGCCCCTATCAAGCCTGTAAGACCCTATAAAAGTTCAACCCTAAACCCTGAAGCCCTAAGCCCTACCCTAAACCCCTAACCCCGAAACCCCTAAACCCCGAAACCCCGAAACCCCTAAACCCTAACCCCTAAACCCTAAATCATAAGCCCTAAACCCTCAACCCTAAAACCCTAAAACCCTAACCCCTAAACCATAAGCCCTATACCCTAAACCCTAAACCAAAGCCCTAAACCCTAAATCATAAGCCCTAAACACCTAAACCCCTAACCCCTAACCCCTAAACCGCAGCAAGCCCTCCCCTCTGAACCCGAGGCCCCCGAGGCCTCCTCCAGGTGAGCCAACACCACGGCGAGGTCCTCGGCCCGCTTCTCCTGGGCTCTTGTTTAAGGGATTTAACTTTGAGTTGTCATAATAAGGAAACCCTATTATTTACTATAGATCCCGATTATTCCTAAACCCTAAACCCGAAACCCTAAGTTATCATAATAAGGAAACCCTATTATTTACTATAGATCCCTATTATTGTAACTTAAACCCTAAACCCTTAGAGGAACCCTTTGTAGATCCCTTAAAGGAGCCCTGAGATCCCTATTATGGTACCATAAATTTGAATCCTTTAACAAGAGCCCAGTCTCAACGATGTCGCGCAGCTTCCGCAACGAGGCCTCGGTTCCGGGGGAACTTGTTCAGCTAGGGTTTAGGGTTCAGGGTTTGGGGTTTAGGGTTTCATGGGTTTCATGGGTTTGGTTACAGCCAGAGTTAAGGGTCTAACTGTTTCTGGGTTTAGGGCTTGGGTTTGGGGTTGTGGGCTTTCTGGGCTTCTTGGGTTGGCTTCACAGGTTTAGGGAAGTTTAGGGCAAGGGGTTTTGGCTAAAGGGTTAGGGTTAGGACGCTTAGAGCTTTGGGGCTGTGGCTTAGGGTTTGGGGTTTAGGGTCTCAATGTTTAGGGTTTAGGGTTCAACGATGTTCAAGGGTTTGGGGTTTACTATTTACGGCTTGGGGCTTCAAGGTTGAACTAGGTTACGCCGCTGTTTTTCGGCGCCGGGCCGCTTGCAGCAGGAAATGTGGTTTTTAACCCACACATGGCATTTTTCGCACGTTGAGAGGAGTGTGTTTGAAGCCTTCAATTTCCTAGGACTTCAACTGGCTCGAATGCGGTGCCTGCCAGTGTTTTCAGTGTTTTGAGGCCAGGGTTACGTTTTTGTGTTTTGTTGGGAGTGTTGAGGCATGTGTCAAGGCATTGCTTTGGGGCGGGCAGTACTGTTGGGCTCAAGCTTTGCGGTTGCGCCTCACAGCAATACGAATGTCTTCGTACTCTGCGCGGACTTCCTTTCGTCATAAGCTCAACCCTAAACCCTAATTCCTTCCTAAACCCTAAACCCTAAACCCTAAACCCCAAACCCTAGGCCATAACGCCATAACGCTGCTGCGCAGAAGGCCATCCGGCTGCAGCCAAATGCCACCGACAGCGTCGCTGTCCAGACTCAAGGGCTTCTTAAAGAAGCCGTTTGCACATTAGGGTTCAGGGTTTAGGGTTTGGGGCTTATGGGGTTTAGGGTTTCGGGTTTAGGGTTTAGGGTTTAGGGTTTCGGGTTTAGGGCTTCGGGTTTATAGGGTTTAGGGTGTAAGTACGCCTCCGTCGTACTTGCATGACCGAAACAAGTGAGGCGAAAGCGCCAAGTCATAAACACGACATCTTCCCGACTTAGTCACTGGGCAAGAACTTTCCTGAGGAATTCGTCTTGTGTGAAGTGCTTCGGAATTTTAGGGTCCGGTCTACGGGGTTTGGGCAAAGCAAGTTGGCATAATCTTCAAAGTGATTCCAGTTTGTAAGATCTGCTGGAAGCCATGCCCCTGCAGCTTGCCACAAAGGCCACACCGCTTTGTCTTGCTGCCCGGCTTGGTGCAACGCCCCAAAAGAAGCATAGTCGCTGGGCCCGACAGCGACTGCAGGCAAACGACTCGTTTAACCCACCCCCTTCCCCCGAGCTTCAAAGAGGCGTTTTCCACAGGCCACTAACAGCGACGTTGGCTTTAACTATGGGTTGGCCGTTTGGAGTCGCAGGGTTGCAGGTTGAGGCCTTTACGTAAGCACAGGCTTGACTTCGAGTGGGAGCTATGCCTTGAAATTCAGCATCGAGTTCATATACCCGGGAGCCAACCAGCAACCGCACTCGAAACAGAAACAAAAGCATTATCCCTAAACCCTAAACCCTAAACCCTAAACCCTTGGGCTGAAGGCATCCAGGGCTTCGTCGTCTTTGCAAACCCCGAGCCGGAACCTTTCAGAAACTTCACTCGTTAGTGCTCCCACTTCTTAGAGGTCCTTAGGGGCTCCTTGTAGGTCTCTAACCACACCCAAAAGTCTGTTCCGATCATATCTTACCCAAACTTATGGCCCATCAGTTTTACCCCGAAGCGCCAGCACTCTACTGTAACTATAAGAAGGGTCATACTTTTGGGCAAAGACTTTAGGTTATTAGTAAGTAGTCGTGTCTGCTGAGGCTTCGGCCTCATCCAGCTGGAACCGCTCGGCGATGGCTCCGGCCCGGGTCATGTCAGGGAAATCATCGATCCTTCTGGATTTTGCGCCGGGTTGGATGGTGTTGGGATTTCTAGGGTGCAGTTGTTACGGGTTGAGGGCTCAGGGCTTAGAGTTTTAGGTTCAAGTTGTGGGACGGTGAGGCTGAGAGGCTGCGGGGGCCTCTATCTGCCGATTCACGGGTTCATGCTCGCACGGTCATACGTCATGCTGCTCTACCCTGAACTTCTTAGAGCCCCAACTTAGGACACCCCCCCCTCTGCACCTATATTAGTCCCCTAAACCCTAAACCCTAAAACCCTAAACCCCTAAACCCTATATCAGTTAACTTCTGAACCTTCAAGCGTCCAGAGAGCTCTAACCTACCCACTTTAGCGGCTGGTCGACCTGAACGAGGTGTCATAAGGTCGAAGCCCTAAGGATTCGAATAAAGGCTTTGGGGGTATGGTTTAGTTTAGGGTTTAGGGTTTAGGGTTTAGGGTTTTATTAGACTATAACTATCATAAGGAACCCCCAAAAATAGTATATGTAATTACTTACTTAAGCTCCCATAGTACTCCAACTTTAGGGATTGCCTTGGTCTGCAGTTTCAGGGGGCCTACCCTAAACCCTAAAGCCTAAACCCTAGCCAGGAACCACCAAAAAGCTTTGCTAGGAAGCCCTTATGCTTTTATAGTGGTGGCCATTTGGGGGTTCCTTTTTGGGGCCATATTAAAAATATTAATTGTTAATCCTGATTCGAGTGTTATTATAACAAAAAAGTAAGCTTGTATCCAACAAGGACCCAGATTTGGCAAGCCTGCAATCTTCAATCAGGCTTCAATGGGTTTGGGGTTTAGGGTTTAGGGTTCAGGGTTTAGAGTTTAGGGTTTAGGGTTTAGGGTATTCAAGGACACCCGCAACAACCTTCACCTCCAAAGCCGAAATCCCCAAACTCTCAACCCCAGAGACCCTCAGGCCCCAAAAACCGAAGCCCAAAACCCTCGAAACCCAAAGCCCTAAACCCTGAAGCCCTAAGCAACCCCTCCAGAACGCTTCTAGGAACCCGACACAAGCCCGAAGAGGAACGCCCAAACCCCAAAAACATAGGCGCTTGCCAAACCCCCGGCCTGCCCTGCACCACCTCACTGCTTAGGGTTTTAGGGTTCGGTGTTTAGGGCTGAACCAGGGCTCTGTGGAATTTTTGATTTAAGCGTTTTCGGCTTAGGTTTCGGGCTTGGGCCGCCTAGGATGATGAATCGTTGGGGCTACCTTGGGTTAATAGAGATTCCTTTGCCTGGGTTTCGGGCTTGGCCCTAAACCCTAAACCCTAAACCTGAAGCCCAAACCGTAGAGTTTAGAGGGCTGGGGGTTTGGACCTTTTCCCGGTGAACGTTTGCTCGGAGCTTGGGGAATTTTGGCGTGTTAGGCTTGCCGGTTTGCTTGTCAGTTTAGGGCTCAGGGGCATCAACAAGGTCCGGTTCAAGAACGGGGTGGGTCCTAAACCCTAACCCGCTTCCGGCTATCCTCTGCTGTACCCCAAAACCCTGATCCAATTATTCAAGTCCCTCTTCTAATGTAGGAACCTTGGTATTTGGAATAGGGATTGGGCTCCTTTATTGTATAAATATAATAAGGAACCCTAAGGAATAATATTGGTAACTATTCAGGGCTCCGCGATACTACGTTCCAGGGCTCGGGGCCACGTAAAGGTTCGCGGTTTCGGCGAGGCTGATGAGGCCGGTAAGGATGCTATTGAAGCCCAAAGCCACGGTTTAGGGTTTAGGGTCTATAGGGTTTATAGGGTTTAGGGTTTAGGGTTTAGGGTCTATAGGGTTTCGGCTAAAGCTTGAAATGGAGCCCTTAATTCAGTAGCCACGATCATCTGAGCGCATCTATCATACTCGGGATCACAGATCTCCTCTTCGGAGTGCCCTTGCAGGCAACCGGGTTTAGGGTTTAGGGTTTAGGGTTTACTGACTACCCTAACCCCTGAACCTCGACCCTCAAGCCTAAACCCTTAACCCTCGACCACACCCCGTTCATCGAGAACCAGCAGGCCATTTCAGACTTGGTTTAGGGTTCTTCTTGCTCTTCTGGTCCTGCGTGATGGCTTTCGCCGTCAAGCTCTTTTTCAGGCCGTTCGGCATCAGAGACTGTGACGGTCTAGGGCTTAAGGCTAATAGGGTTTAGGAATTAGGGTTCAGGGTTTAGGGTTTAGGGGAGGGAAAGCTGGCCGCAAGCGCATTTTGAAGCTTCCGCGGAGACGGGAGGGGACACGAGAAACGGCCTGATCACGTCAGTTATGCTAGTTCGCGCTTTGCTCCAGCACGGCCCACCCAAGCTTGATGTCACCTTTCCACCGCACATCCCCAAAACGTAAAACCCATGGCTCCAAACTCCCAAGCCCTGAACTCTCAATTTAAACCCATTGAAGGCTTAGGCCCTGCACCCAGCAGCCTGTGACTCAACCCCAAAACAAACATGAGAGCAACAACCACCACGATGTATGCACATCCTTCTGGCTTTGAGGGCTTTAGTTCGGGTCTTGTTCCGGGGCCTTACGAACTAGGTTATATATGGAGGTTATCAGGGCATGATAGCATCAAGCATTCAGAACTTCATGCGTGACCCACCACTCTGGACCCGGAACACTACACCCTAGACCCTGAACCCACTCGACCCTAAACCCCTAGCTCTCTAAACCCAAACCCCCCAAAACCGCCAACCCTACAACTCTGAACCCTAACCCTTTCTAGCGCCCTTGTAGAGCCTTTATAGAAAACGTATCAAGCACCCTTTCTCAACCCTTCTCCCACAAGCCGCCGACCTTTTTCACCAGTGAGATGGCTGTAAAGGACCGGTCGGCGCAAATGCAGAGATGCTGCGCCAGCTTCCGCAAGTCCTTCGGAGCATTTTGGGAGGGCGTTCTGGTTTTGGACTTCCTGGATTTAAGGTTTAGGGTAAGGTGTAGTAGAGGGTTTAGGCTGGTTTAGGGTTTAGGGCTTGGGGCTTAGTTCAGGGTTTATGCCTTCTAGCTATTCAGCTCAAACAAGCAGAAACCGCAAAAAACCAAAAAGCAACCCGGAAACCCCCTGGGTTTTGTCTATGGGTTCAGGGCTTAGGGTTTAGAGTTTAGGGCTTGGGGCTTCGGGACTAAGGATTCGAGACCCTAAACCCTAAACCCTTTAGGGTTTAGGGCCCCCCAAAGGCTGAATCAACCCCTGAACCCTGCGTGGCCCCTATAAGATCTATCTTTTTTTCGGGCTCCTTATGTGTGATTTCCTTACTTAAGCTCTTCAAAACGTAGGTTGGTTGGGGTTAAAGTAAACTCTAAATGCACCAAACCTCGCAAAACAACACAAACTGTGTATGTATGTAAACCCCAAACCCTAAACCCTAGACCCTAAACTCTAAACCCAGAACCCCAAGTGTGTGTTTTATGTTCCAGCGGCCTTGCGCCCCGAAGGGTGGCTTGCTGCACCACCGGGCCATCGGATCTGCAAGAAGAGTTGTAGCGGCAAGAAGCAAACCGATGCAACACAAAGCCAATGCCAAGGACCACACTTAACAACGGGCCTAAACCCTAACCCTAAACCCCTAAACCCCTAAACCCCTGCCCCTAAACCCCTCGACCCCTAAACCCCTAAACCCCTAAACCCCTAAAGCCCTAAACCTCTAAACCCCTAAACCCTAAACCCTCAACCCTCAACCCTCAACCGTCGGGATGCAAATCTTGCTGCTCATGCGTCACTTCCCGTCCTCGTCCTGCTCCGCTTTTCTGCGAACGCGCAGCTCGACCAGCCGGCACCTGCGACGCGCTCAGTTTGGGGGATCAGGGCTTCAAGCTTCGCGTTTGGGGATCAGGGCTTCGGGCTTTTTCAGGGCTTAGGCGTTTTCGGGGCTTGGGCCTTAGTATTTAGGAAGTAGACCCGAAACCCTCAAGCCTTAACCCTCCGGAAGTAGAACAGGCAGAGAGGGGAGGCTGAAGCGGCCCCTTCCCCACAGGGTTCTATGAGGATGTCACAGGGCTGTGAAGGGTGGGGGGCCTGAGTAACTAGAACCCCCCCAGAAGTACGGCAGCTGCAAGAGCCATACGCATGTTAAGGAATCCATACTCGGATCATATGCATCCGGTCTCTGAAGGTTGTCCCAGCCCGCTTGTGTCGTCTCATAGTTCATCCAGTAGCCCTGCGGCCACGGTGACATCGAAGAAAATGCCCTTCTAAAAACCCTTAAAGCGAATTTTGTTTTCAAACAATAAAACTAAATCCCTTAAAGCTACTCTTATATAAAAACCCAGGAAAATGCCCCACAGCCCCTGAAAGCCACGAACAGCCCCGAGGTTTCCCCCGCGGACCGCCTCGCAGCCTCGCTCAGGGAATGCTCTTCCACGAACCTGCGACACGTCGGCTTCGGGTTTAGGGTTTAGGGTTGAGGGTTCGGGGTTTAGGGTTTAGGGTTCGGGGTTTAGGGTTTTTAGGGTTTGGGGTTTGGGGTTTAGGGTTTAGGGAGATCCCCGTTGACGTGATTTGGGGATGAGGTTTTGAAATGTTTTAGAAGATGCTCCTTCTTGGTTTTGTAGTCTTCTGCGTGGACACTGTGATGCTGAGTCCTACGGTTGATCACCTAAATCCTGCATTACCCATCATAGGGAATAAACTATAGCTCCCATAGCTTAGGGTCCTTAATTAAAGGAAACTACAGGTGGGGAGTTTAGGGTATATTGGGCTTATAAGGCTTCTATAAGGTATATAGACCTTCTATAAGGCTCCTATAACGGTAACTACCCACCTGAAAATGTCCTAGACTTAAGGTCATGCAGGATTTACATCATCAACCGTACCGCCAGGCCCCTAGGCACAGCCTGCCTGTCGATCTTCTCATCCCGTTTGAAGTTCGTAGCCTCGGACACTTCGGGGCTAGGAAGAGCCGGCTTACTTCTGCACCTAAAACCCCAAACCCTAATCCCTAAAAACCTAAACCCTAAAGCCTAAACCCTAAACCCCAAGCCCCAAAACCTAAACCCCCCAAACCTACACCCAGTAAGCATCCCTTACCATCAGCCCTACCATAGTTTCATGGATATTTGTAAGCTCACTTAGCGATCAGGAATCTGGATACCTTCAGGGTTTGGGGTTTAGGGCTTTTAGGGCTTTTTGGGCTTTCGGGCTTAGGGTGTAGGGCGTTTTAGGCTTTTGGGCTTAGGGTTTAGGGGTTCGGTTTAGGGTTTAGGGTTTTTGGGCTTAGGATTCAGGGTCTAGGGCTTAAAGTTTAGGGTTTAGAGGTTTATAATTTTGGTGCGTACGCTTAGTTGGGTACTGACACGTAATCATAAGTAGGCGCCTAGACCCTTAACTTCAGACCACCGACCCTCCTGTCCTCAAACGCTGAAGCCGTTATGTTGTAATAGCTCCCATAAGCCCCCCAGCCATAAAACCCTTAACCCCAAAAGCCCTAGAAGCAGTTGGCGCAACAAGGGCTGTTATCAAGATCCTACGACCTGGTGCTTCGAGAAGGAAGCTTCATGAGATCAGGGGTGCTTACGGGTAGTTCTCTAAGTTAGGGTTCCTTTTTCGGTCCCCAAAATAGTATGGCACCCTTACAATAAGCACCCTACAAGCGACCCTAATTTGGGTTGTGAGCTGAAGGCTCAGGATGCGGGGTGTGAAGTTCATCTGAGGCTGAAGACGTCGGGTTGAAGTTTGGGTTTTGACCCAAACGCGGGCGAAAGCCTTCGAGTTTCCATTCAGGATTTCAGAGATCAGGGTTTCGTGTCGAAGTAAGTCGGGGCTCTCTGCGGAGTACCTGCTCTATGAAGCATGGAAGCCGAAACAACCACCGTAACGTAGGGGACCAGAGCAGGGGTCTTGGGCTCCTTTAGAGTATGACTATAAATATGGTATAAATAAGGAGCCCTACCGAATAATATTGGTAATTATTTAGGGGCCACAGCCTAATAGAATATGGGGGCCGTGATAATTAGAATAGGGCTTTTGGCTATAACAAGGAACCCTGGAGACTCCTACTTATAATTCTTTCCACCGCTAATGAGGAGCCTAAATAATTGCCAATACTATTTTGGGGCTCTTGATTATAATTATGGTATAACGGTATGACATATCCCAAAAGCCTATTGTAATTATTAAGGCCCCTACATTATATCAAGTCTTCTGTTGAGACTCGATCCCGGTTCTCCCATGTCACCCAGCTTTCCACCACTTTACGCTTGGTGCATCCTAGGGGGCGAAATCGCCCAGTTCCATCTCATCCATCTTGACCATCAGCCTTTGTGAGCTGTCGGATTTTGGGGTTTAAGGCTTTCCGGTTCGAGAGGCTCTTTAAAGGAAACTACAGGTGGGGAGTTTAGGGTATATAGGGCTTCTATAAGGCTTCTATCAGGTATATAGACCTTCTAGAAGAACTAGAGCTCTTGAAGCTCCCTAACCTCTAAACCCCTAAACCGGAACTGCCTTCAGTTGGGCTTACGATGGCTTACGGCTCTGGGGCTTACGGTTCAAGGCTTCAGCATGCTTAGGGTTTAGGGCTTAGGGTTTAGTAAGTTTAGAGTTTAGGGCTTAGGGTTTAGTATAAGTTTAGGGTTTAGAGTTTAGGGTTTAGGGCTTAGGGCTTAGGGTTCAGGGTTTAGGGTTTGGGGTCGGCATTCAGGACCTAGAGTTCAGGGTTTAGGGCTTAGAGTGCAGGGT